TTTTCCATTATGAGATGCAAGGTGCAGGCCAGCAACTCAAGGGAGCCACTGGCCAGTTTCCTCAGCTGCAAAGGGCAAGATCAGAGTTTTGCTAAGTGAGCAGGTGCTGTTTTCAGACACCCATGTTCACGGGGGAACTTGTAATATTTCCAGGCCTGGGCTGCATGGAGGAGCCCAGGCTCCAAGGCAGGGAATGGTCCCCAACAGCAGCTTAACACAGCGTTCCTTTGCTGAGAGTAATATTTTCTTCTTGCAAACTACCTGTGATTTTATGCCATGTGTCACACTATGGAGGCAAACTGGTGGCTTATAGGGGGATGAATGTGGAACCATATTGGCTAGGATACACTCCACCTTCTGAAGACCCTTCCCTCAGCTTCCTGAACTGGCCTCAGAATGAGGGAATGGGGGTAGTGCACCTGGTACAGACATTTGTTTAAAAAGGGTACTCAAAAGTTTCTGTTGGGTGGAAGCCACCAGGCACTCTTGCTTACTGACGTGCTCAGGGGCGGGGAGGTCCTGGTCTGTGCTCTGCATACAGCAGGAATACCATAGCTATTGACAAGGTGACTGAAATATTTCTTTGGCAAATAGAATATAGTGTTAGGCTGATTTCTATTTTAAAATAGAAAAGAAGAGGTTTCAAGTGAGTTTTTGGTTCTGGCGAATCTTGGTTAGCTCTACGCAGTCTGTGGGAAGCACCTCTCCTTCCAGGGCCAACAAACCAGGGCATACATTCATCTGTGTGGGGTGGGCTCTATGGCTTTCAGGACCTCTGCAAAACAAAGATGGCATCCTGCAATACAAGCATGAACTCGGCGAGCTGTAAAGTTCAGCCAGGCAGGAGGGGTCTGCAGGCAAGGCAAGGGGATGAGCGTGAACACAGAGCGGGGGGGCTGGTCCTCAGGAGGAATCCCATCCCTACCATTTCCTAGTATGAGGCCCTGGCAAGTTACTCCTGAAGCTGTCTTCCTCAGTTTCTCCAACTGACAAAAGCAAGTACACTAGTATCTCTTTCATAGGCTTCTCATGGGGGATTCAATAGCTTAACATATGGCTAGAGCAGTGAAAATTCCCATCAAGCACATTAAAGGTGAGTAATTAATATTATGCAACTTTGATCTTGCACTCAAAAGATTTCTGTAGTGGAAAAATACAACTCACTGTGAGAAAAATAGAATCCTGTACATTTTGGAAATGTCTTAAGCAGACAATCATGCTTCAGTTTTGAACATTCCATATTAAAACACTGCATTATATTCTTGCGCACTTTTGTCTCTGGAACATTTTTCAAACAAAAAATAATTTGTATGACATCCTAGTGATGCGCATGCCTGTCAGTGTCCCCCATGTGTAAAAAGAAGAGATGTTCATGTTTAAGTGACTCACTGCAAGCCACAGGGAGCTGTGGTAAGAGCAGGGGTGAGCAGTGCACATTTGCGGGTTCTGCGTCTTATGCTCAGAACATCATGACTTGCCCCCAGGGAACAAGTGTCACTAAACGGCTTTGAATGGCTCAGCAGAAAGCAGCTCAGTGGCAGAAAGGAGTGATCCCTGAGTTACAGGCCACACAGAGGAGCCAGGAGAGGGAGACGAGGAAACAAAATGGAGATACTCACGCCATGTTTAACAGTTTTTGCAGCATGGGCAGCTTTCTTTTTTGCATCATAATGAGTAAGGATGTCAATAATTGCCATGAAGTACACCTCCTTCCTAGGCGAGTCTGCAGAGACAGGAGAGCAACGACTGTGGGACATGTGACACCACCAGGGCCAGCATCGCTGCTGAGGGAGGGAGAAGTGAGGCTGGAAGGAGGGGATTCAGCGGAAGGCGGATGGAAGGAGTCCACAGACAAACTCCATACCACTCCTGCATATCCTGACTAAACACACAGCTTGCCTCTCTAACCCAGTCCCCTCCAATTTAAAAACAATAACAGCTAAAAACATCATAGCAACAGTGGAGAGCCAACGGTGGAACTGAGTCTTTTCTTATTATTAATTTGCATTTTCTTTAATGATTGTGTATTGCTTTGGTGTGAAGAAATATGCTATTTAAAAATACCCTATAAAACAAGTAGAACTAATTATGTGCATTAATGCTTTTCTACCATTTGATGTACCGTTCATAATTCTCATTGGATACAGTATCAGAACTGGATAAAGGCATATATCTACTCCAGTGTCTCTTTTCTTTTTTTGAGAGAGTTTTGCTCTTGTTGCCCAGACTGGAGTGCAGTGGCATGATCTCGGCTCACAGCAACCTCCGCCTCCTGAGTTCAAGTGATTCTCCTGCCTCAGCCTCCCGAGTAGCTGGGATTACAGGCATGCACCACTATGTCCGCCTAATTTCGTATTTTTAGTAGAGACGGGGTTTCTCCATGTAGGTCAGGCTGGTCTCAAACTCCTGACCTCAGGTGATCTGCCTGCCGCGGCCTCCCAAAGTGCTGGGATTACAGGCGTGAGCCACTGCGCCCAGCTACAATGTCTGTTTTCTATCCATTTCCAAAAATATGAACAGTAAGAAAAGTACATTTGACTATCTAATTTTCTGTATTGAAGAAAACATTTTGGTGAGCAAAACAGAAACAGAACAAAACAGCACTCCCATCCTCAGCTTGATATGCCATTTGAGATTTAAAAAAAACTGATGAGCCAGTTTTTATTACTCAAAAAACAAACTGTTTTTATCCTATCACAAAAATATTTTGGTTTTGTCATGGATAAGTTGCTAAGGTAGGATGTAATATTCAAATAACTGGTGCACCCAATCACCTGGATACGGTGGATTAAGATTTATCTGACTCTAGGGAAGAGGCCACAGGCCCTTCCATTGGGGAGGACGGCAGAGCCAGTCTAGGCGGCAAATCAGATTCCCACCCCACACACAGGGCCCAGCTTCACACACCCTTCACATCCCTGAGAGGGAGCGCGCTGGTGGTGATGACAAGAGGACAACCTAAGGGTCACAGAGGACCACATGTGTGTTCCTTAGATTCATGATGCTTTTGACTTAGATAAAATAGATAACTAAGCAAAAATGTATTAGTATTTTAAAGCATTTCTGGTGTTTGTGTATGGGTGCATATGAACGTGTTGTATGCCAGTGTGTATGTGCATATGTACAGGTGTGTTGTATATGTATAGTATAGTTTGTGGTTTTGCTGTATTCCCTCAACATCACAGAATTCAAAGGTCCAATTGCCTTATGTTTCAGCACTGAGATCATGGTTACCTTTAACATATTCTTGTCCTCAAATCCATTTCTTTGGAGTTTGGAGGATGAGTGCTGCCGGACAGCACCCTCATAACTGGGGTAGTGATTCCTGGTAGATGACAAGGCCAAAGTCAAACCACTTCACATGAAAAAGGGTCCACAGTAATCAAACTTACTTTCATGGCACTTAATTCCATAGACGTCGATGTTCGGATCGAACTCCCCGGGAGCCAGGGGTGGTGAGCTGTTCAGTGTATTCCCGGGGCTATCTGGGGGGGTCCCCACTGGGTGGGTGCCGTCGCTCTCACCCTCCTCCTCCCCGTCGTTCTCCTCACACTCCACTTCCTCCTGTTCGGCTCTCTCCACATCGTGAATTCCCACCAGCAGACTATAGTCCATGAGCTTCAGCTGGGCCAGAAACTGGGGACAGAGGTGACAGGGTCAGTCAGCCACACCTTAAACATAAAAGTCAACGTTTAAAAAAAGGAGACAAGCTCGGGTGACACCCGGAGGGAAGGCTGCGGGGTGGGGCAGCAGAGGCGCCCGGTGCCTCCTTTACGGATGTTCTTACACTCCGGGGCTGTTTCTCTATCTAAAGGGGAGCCTCACACTTCAGGCTGGCTCAGAGCTCAGGCCATTTTCCCTGGAATGCCACACTGGAGGCGGAGAGGCGTGGATCTATCACAGGGTGGCCGGGTTTCACCAGAGAGCAGGAAGCATGACCAGTGACAGATGCAGAGAGAGACTGGGAGGGAGAGCAAGTTCCTTCCAACGATTAAGACAGGCTAAGGGGGAAACCCAGGCACCTCCCAAGTAGCTTCCAGCGGAGTCTCTTGCGGTGGTTCGGGAAAGCACCTTGGAATTCAGCATGCTCTGCGGCTGCCGAAGCGATTGTTACGCTGTTGCAAATAAGTAAAAGCAAAGGCACTGTGTCCACCTCTGGTGAGCAATGCAGTCCTGTCCGGGTCAACAAGGTGCTTTGCACCAGGCCCCACACACCCAGGATTCCTGTCCTCCCTCTCCTCCTCCAGCCGCGGCTACAACATAATGTGGGGGCAAGGCGCAGCTCTGTGTGTTTGGCTACTCCTGTCTGCCCAGTTCTTTTTTGACTTTTCAGATCACGATTTCTTTTTGTTTCCCTTTTCTGATTTGAGACCTTCAGCACAACGTTCCAATACTGCCATAAAACGTGGACGGTTATGCTGAGTGAAAGCAGTGGCAGCCCGTCTGTGGGCTGGACCCAACTGGCTCCCCTGACCCTGTGGCTGGCTGGTTCTGCACAGGGTCCTGTTCCACTGTGACCTTGGGCTCGGGGTCCAAGAAGGTTCACGGTCCTGGCTCTGGAAGGACTCAGCGCCACCTCACTAGGGAATGCAGAGTGGCTGAGCAGCCTCTGGGCTACGCTGATAGAATTTAGGAAGCAAATGTCCTCACGCAAAGGGCAAGCAGAGAAAATCACAGGTTTTGAAGTTCTGGCTAAAAATGAAATCAATTTGTTGAGCCCCGCAGAGCCATTTCTCCTCAGCCTGCTGGGAAGGAGTTCTGTCTCGAAACTGAATGAGAAGCCCTGATTCCTTACAGATGAGGAGAGGACCCCTGGGCACAGGTCTGTCCCACTCTCCAGCTGGTTCCCAGTGCCTGCAATTCTCCATCAGCCAGCATCCCGCTCAGCCCCGCAAACTGGCCAGAGCTCCCACTTTGCAGCCTTCCCACCAGGAATCCGCCGGGGCCAGCTACATCTTCCCCATTTGTTCCGAGCTCAGAAAATAGAAATCACACAAATCTTACGCTCAAATATTTAAGCAAAGTGGGAGAAACCTGTTTGTTTAAAAAGAGAGGCAAACCCCTCGTGGAAACAGCATGGGGCTCCTGCGTTCAGCTTTCTGGGTCCCAGAGAGGAGAGGAAGCCACCGCTCATCCCCCTGGCCTTTCCCCAAACTCCCCCATTACAGTTAACATGAGAACCAACTTTCCACTTGCACCTCCCTCTGCCAGATTCCTTTCCAGCATCCTCCTCTAGAATCTCGGCAGCTGCCAGGCTGTGGGGAGAAATCTGCAGTGGTGGAAGGCTCACTTGAGTCCTCCACCAGCGCGGTGAAGCCAGCCAGGGAGCTGGGTCTCGGGTACAGCTCTGCTGTATATGGGCCTGTGGATGTGGAAGAGAACTGGGCATTCCAGGGTATAGAGACAGGTGACAAGATCCAAGGCAGGGGGCAGGCTCTCTGTGTGAGGCAGCAGCCAGATTCAGCAGCTGGACGGGAGTGCAAGGATTCAAATCCAAGGAGGGGTGAATTCAGGGCCCATTCTGAGCCCGCACTCTCTGCTCTGTATCAGCTACTTCTGGAGGCCACCTTAAAGCAGCTTTCCCCTCTCCTTTCGCAACCCTAGGAGGAAGGTAATGAGTTAAAATCAGCTGGCATCGGAGGAGGCCCTCCACACGTGACGCGGTGCTGTGGGTCTCTGGACGGTTAGGCGGTCAGCAGCAGCACGCCTGGCACCACTGTGATCCCCGTCCCCGTCAGAATGCCCTGTCGGCCTCGGGTTTCAGAAGCCTATTTGGAAAATACTGCAGTGTAAGTACCCAGTCTTCTCCAATGCTTGAGGGGTGTGTGTGGTGGGGAGGCACTCATGGTGGGCCCACTTCTCCCTGCCCTGTTGTTCCAAGGCCTCTGGGCTCCCGGAGGACTAGGCCAGGGTCTCCTTCACCACCTCCGCTGCCCCTCCCAAGCCTAGCATGGTGCCTGGCTCTGCTCCTTGGATCTACGGCTTCCCTGGCCTCCCTCCCTACACCTGGAAGCCTCTCTGGAGCCAGGCCAGACCTTGCTCAGCTTGAGCAGTGACAGGGAAGAGGCCCCCCTCCTGCCCATCCCTGCTCCCTCTGGGTGCTTGGAAGGTCCGTGTGAAGTGGTAAAGCCTCACTAGTGCCTCAACCTCCCCTCCAGTCCTCTGCAAAGGGCACAAGTTTTCAAAATGTGAACCTGATCACATCCTGTTCTGCTTAAGACATTTCCATAGTGCCACGTTTCTCACAGGGCACAAACAAAACTCACGTGGCCCAGGAGGCCTGGATAGCTTGGCCCCATCCACATCTGGAGCCCACCTGAGCCCTGCTCTGCCTGCTTCCTGGGCTTCTTCCCTGTGGGCAGGTACTTCCTCCTGTGCCTTCAGGCCTAGCGGCAGGGCACCACACAGAGCAGCGCAGCCCCAGAGTCTGGGTGTTTAGGGCACCGTACACTCCCTCCCCAGTGGCACATGGCCTCGTTGCACATTCATTTTGCTGGAGTATTTGAAAACTTCTCTCTTTCCCAAGCAAGGCAGCCTCTCAAAAGGGGCTCTAAAGTTTTGGCATCACTGCATTCCCGACTCCCAGCAGGCAGAGGGCTCAGGAAAGTATTCGGCACTTGTTGGACAAGAGAATAGGATGCCTGCTACTTTATCCCTATCTGTCCCCCCAGCTCTCCCTAATTGTCCCCAACCTGCTTCCACCAGGAAATAACTACTAAAGCCAAATACAAACAACAAAGCAACAACAGAAAACCTTTCTGAGACAGCAAGAGGCAACATCTCTCGGAAGGAAGCGCAAGGCGACCATTTAATACGCTTCCCTTAACGGGAAGGTCTACGGGCTGACCTTCAAGTGTGTTTTAGTTACAGAAGTCGGGGTTGTCTGGGATTAATTTGCCAAAGGGCACGGAGGGAAGGGGACAACTGGGATTGGCCAGCCACATGAGCCTTCAGGGCTCAGCCTCCCCTGGCACCCCATCTGGGCTCCTCGCCACACTGGGCGGCCCAGAGTAATTTTCCTGGACCTCAGACCTGTGGTCAGACTGCTTATTCTCATCTTCCAGTGAGGAAGAAATAAAGGTGCAGTCAACTCCTAGCACAACCCAAAAACTATCAGTGATGAAAAATGTATCTCTAGGTAAGAAGCTCAGTGATGAAAACTGTATCTTTAGGTAAGAAGCTGTTCTGAGGCACCCAAGAAGACTGAGGAAATTGCAGTCGCAATGGGTATTGCACATGTTTTCTTTTTGTTTAAGAGATGGGATCTTGCTCTGTTGCCCAGGCTGGAGTACAGCGGTGTGATCACAGATCACTGTAGCCTTGAACTCCTGGGCTCAAGGGATCCTCCTGCCTCATCCTCCTGAGGAGCTGGATTACAGAGGTGCACCACCATGCCCAGCTAATTGTGTGTGTGTGTGTAGACAGGATCTTGCTATGTTGTCCAGGATGGTCTGAACACCTGGCCTCAAGTGATTCCCCTGCCTTGGCCTTCCAAAGTGCTGGGATTATTATTCATGTTCTCAAATCTCTGAGACTGAGGTGGAAATGGGAAAATCCAAGTATGGCACAGTGGTGAAAAGGACAGGTCATGCTGACAAGGGAGGCCCATTCAAGAAGCAAAGAGCAAGTCCGATTTGGCCTCTCGCTAGCTCCACGCTTGACGAGTTTGCCTCCTGGATCTTCAGTCATTCTGACTTTAAAATGGGACAATGCTGCTCACCTCACGGGTGGGGAAGAATTAAGATAATGAAGCTGAGAGAAAGAATATGGTGCCTTGCACAAAATAACGGGAGCTGTTATTTGTAACTGTCAATGTTGTTTTGATTATGGTAGAAGTTTTTTTAATAACAACATTTCAAATTTAAAGAGGTTTCAGTTTGTGGACCGGGGAAAAAGAACCATATAGAAAAGTCCGTTAATTCATGAGCTCTGATCTTCACATCTTAAATTTCTTTTTGAGATAGGGTCTGGCTCTGTCACCCAGGCTGGAGTGCAGTGGTGTGATCATGGCTCACTGAAGCCTCAAACTCTTGAACTCAAGGGATCCTCCTGCTTCAGCTTCCCTAGTAGCTAGGACCACAGGCATGAACCACCACGTCTGGCTAATTTTTACAACTGTTTGTAGAGATGGTGTCTCTACAAAAAGCCTGTTGCCCAGGCTGGTCTCAAACTCCTGGGCTTAATCGATCCTCCTGCCTCAGCTTCCCAAAGTGCTGGGATTACAGGCATGAGCGACCACACCTGGCCTCAAATTTTATTTTAAATCTGATCTGAGGTACAGTGAATGAAGTGTGGCAATAAATCCGAGATTTTTGTTAGAGAAAACTCCTGTGGGCTGGAAGCTTGCAGATGGAAAGAGAAGACAGAAAGGGAGTGTGGGCTTCACTGTGGGGTCAGCTTCCGGCCCACTGCAGGAACACAGAATATATTTGTTCTTTATTTTTTAAGAACATAAGATTTCAAAGTGTGAAGATTTTTCAGTCTTTAGGTCCCCTGCTTTTCTTCCTTTCCAGCTTCTCACAAACCACCTGCTAGACCTTAGATCTGCCTCCTTTTTCCCCCCAGAATATCCCTTCTCATCTAATTCCTTAATAATTGATTCCTTGCTGTGACAAATCTTTGAGCTAGAATCTTCCTCAAGATCTTTGCGAGTCTAAGATTATCCTTACAATGGTTTCCAGTTGATTTATTTATACTAACACACTGTGTTCTACCACATCACCATCTCCCAACATATCTGTGAAGTAGAATTAAAATGCCAGTCAACCCTGTTTAACAGTTGTATCTTACCACTTGTTAAAAATTATAATACTCCTCCTTTGGAACAATTATCAGAAAACAGAGCCTCCACTGTGCTCTCACAAGTATTTTTAACTTGTGTTTATGTCAAAGTAGTTAAGGACTGTGCCCTCTGAGGGTCTGACACCCCAGTCTGAATTTAGAAGCTTTGTGCCTTTGAGCAAATTACATACCGTCTCTGGGCTCAGCTTTCTCATTCATCAAACTAGGGTAGGGGCAGGAGCACTGTCAAGGGGCTGTTTTGAGAATGACAAGTGACACTGACTGCATGGGAAGGACTTGGGCTTGATGTGCTCCATAAATGGTGCCGCCCATCCCACTACTGCCACCACCCTATCCCCTCTTACCCATCTCCATGGATGGGGGGCTGTAAACCTCGGACAGCTGAAATGCCCTGTGATGGGGTGCTCCTGGATGCCACAGAGGAAGAGCAGTTTTGCATCATGTGAGTCAGTGAGAGGAGAGACCAGGGTTGATTCTTGAGGGCCGTGATCAGAGTTGACAAAACACAGGGCAGAAAGAAAAAGTGCTTGTCACTCCTTATACACCAATTTGTGTGTGTGTACGCATGCACGCAAAGACTCACCTGTGTTTAGTTACGTGCAAAGCTATGTGGATGCAAGTACCCAGCATGGCACAGGAATAGAACGGGCTTCAATGATAGAAAAACAGCAACTAGAATCTCATATGAAAATTAGTTTTCCTAAAATCTAGATTTTTTGAGCTGTAATACACTCAGATCCCCTACTTGAGGCATTAAGGAAAAACAGCAACAACAACAAAAAAACTGTAATGAAACTCCAACGGGTCAGTTAGCTAAATTAGAAAGCATGGAACTGAAGAAAAAAGGAAACTCAATTAAATTCTAGCCTCATTATCAAGATCATATGTCAAGCTACTTCACCATAATTACCTGCTTAAAAATTTAATGATGGTTCTGCATTAATTTCAAAACTAAAGGCACTTATCAGCTATTGAGAATATTTTTAAATGAAAGAATGTTTTATACCTGCCTCCATTTCAATGAAACAGCTAAGTGCTTGAGCCATGTATGGGATTAGGCTATGAGTCCTCTAATCAATGGTATTATTAGAGACAACAAAAGAGCTAAGAGGATCCTTCTGTAATTCAACTGTAAATTTAAACTGCTTGAGTTACATTATTTCTGGAGTCTAAATATCATAGTGATATACTGCCAACGGAAAAAAAAAATTTTTTTGATAGGTCACAGATAAGCCTAATGGCTACTTACTATAATCGCTAAAACAATATTCTTGTCAGTATCAAAGATTTGCTGATTAATCAATAAAAACCCAAGAGTATGTTTACTAAGGACACTTATCAGTTGGATCAAACAGATCCCAAAGCAAGGGGGAAATGCTTAACTAATACATTTTATTAATAACCACTGACAACTGAGGAAAACTATAAACATTCCTTAATGAAAGACTGGAGGAAAATGTTACAAGAGAAAACCAAACACTTGTATCTCTGTTTGAAGTAGATGCTTATAGGCTAAGCAGAGTGGCTCATGCCTGTAATCCCAGCACTTTGGGAGGCTGAGGTGAGAGGATTGCTTGAGGCCAGGAGTTCAAGACCAGCCTGCGCAACATAGCGAGACCCTGTTTCTACCAAAAAAAAAAAATTCAAAAATTAGCCAGGCACTGTGGTGCACGCCTGGAGTCCCATGTTACTATGGCGGCTGAGGTGGGAGGGTTGCCTGAGCTGGGAGTTCAAGGCTGCAGTGAGCTATGCTCATGCCACTGCACTCTAGCCTGGCCAACACAGCAAGACCTTGTCTCTAAAAACAATGGCAACAAAAAAGTAGATGCTTACACCCTTTACAAATAACCAACATATAGGTTCTAACCCAAGTGTGTATACCATAAAGGTTAAAATAATGTAAAAAATTTTATTAAACTTATTTATGGTCTAAAAATAATAAGTATTAATAACTTAGTCTGAGTTTCTTATAATAAAAAGAAATTATACTGCTTCTGCCTTCATGGGAAATATAAATGTATGACAGTCATTCTCTTTGGCTTTAGTCATTTTCTTTCTTTTCTCTTTTTTTTTTGTTTAATGACACGAAAAAGACAATCTTCCCACAAAGCCTCTAAGTAGCAGCCCTGTACTGGTGTGCCGGGAAGTGTACATAAATGAATGAAAGTAACAGCTAAGAAAACCTTAGTTTAGTAGCTGACTAAATTCTAATTCCCACTGCATTGTTTTGTAACTCAAAGAAGTCCAAGAAAATCTTTTTCCCTGGATTTATTTATAAAAGACTTAAATGAGCAAATCCAATGGAAAAGCTGCAATGCCTTTATCATAAACTAAATGACAGGAAAAGGTACATTTTAAATGTTTAGAACAGTGTTTTAAAGCAAAACTCCATCATTATGGACTAAAGCCCCTTGGACACTGTTTTATGTCTCTCCACTGTCCCCTATGACCTACTGTCCGAAGCTGCCTCTGTGCTGAAGCTGCCTCTGTGCTAGTTCCACGATGTGTAAGGGGCCTCACTGGGGCCTCATGACATGGTTCGTGGTGACTGGTGGAGATAAGAAAACATTAAGTGATCCAGGCTATGTTTACCAGCACTGACATGTGTTTTAGAGGGGAAAGTGCCAAGACTCTAATAGTGACTGCACATTTGTTTTTGAGATGCTCTGCTGGTTGACACAGAGTCTAGTACTCCCCTGGCCCCTCCCAAACTGGCTGGTGTGGGCAGGTCAGTCTTCATGGGCCATTCCAATACAGAATACAGGGGCCTGGGGCCGGGGATTCCCAGCACATGACAGCAGGTGCTTGCTTGTGTTTGGTGCCTAAATGAGAGGGCTGCTAAACTGGCATGTGTTTGCTTTCAAGCAGATCATGTAACATGAGACACTTTCGTGTCTGACTTTAGAGTATACAGGTTTTTGCCTTGATTGCAGATTTAAATAGATGGTTTAAAAAGCTCCTAAAAACCAACAGGGCTGATATTTATACAATTAGTATGGCCTCTACACTGACTCTTCTTACCTCAACATCCTTTTTTAGTTTTTCCAGGAAGACCTTCTTGTTGTTGTCATCAATATAAATCTTTTGGCCTTCATTAATGAAATCATTATCTTTCAGAGTTGGCAGTTCTTTGGCCTAAAACAAATGAGAAAAAGAATGACAAAGAAGCTTGAATAAAACCTAAAAAAACCACATACACCTTCCAACCCTGGACATTGAAGTTTGCCCCGTTCACCACCACAGGGGTCTTACCCATACAGTAAAATAGGAGAAAGCTTGATTACCACCGGGGGGCGCCAGTGAGCTGCAACCTCTGGAGGCATTCCCGGGAGCAGTGGGGTGGGGGTCAGACAGACTCCATATTATAAGGCTTTTTGTAACACATTTCATGTTTTTCAGAGGAACGAACCTGACTGCTTTCTTAGATTCACTTTCTTACAAGAAGTCTTCTAAGTATAGAATTTGTATTCTTGGAATATTTTCCCAGGAACCCTCTTCTTACTGGTATAATCCAACTCCATCCCTCCTCCCACTTTTGGGTAGCCGTTGCTTGGCTCACATTACAAATAACATATCTTGTCTCAGAACAGCCCCATCCATAATCATATCTACTTTCTGCACCACGGAGAACATGTGGTCCGAGGTTAGCCATCTGCCCTTCCCAGCCTTCCTGTTCACCACTCCAAGAAGGAAATTCTCTTCTCATTTGGATAGTATCAAAGAAAAAAGGTCTTCTCTTAACATAAACAATTGAAGATGAGAGTTCTACCTTTTACAAATGAACAAAAGGGTGAGCTAACAAAGTGCACTTATACCAACCAACACAAAGCAATGGGCGACTATGAAAACATGGGTCATGAGCAGAAAACACTGTAGCTTGTATTGCAGCAAACAGAATATAGGCATATAGTTTCAAAACTGTGGATTATTCTATTTAACTTTGTACAGCCTGCATTCAGTACGAGCTCCAAATCTCCCACGCCTTTCAGCTAACCATAGCTTGCTTATTTCAGCAGAAAGAAATCCAGTGTCATGCACTGCCTTTCCCTGTATGTTGATGAATCTGGAAGGGTCCTCTTTTCCATAGGTGTGAACCAAATGAAAACAAAATAATCCAAGGAAACAACATGCTTTCCTTCCTGGCTCCGGCACTGTTCCTCCTCCCTTCTTATTCAGAGCAACGAAAGAACGCTCCCTGAGTCCATCTCCTGAAACTTTCACATGCTCGAACTGCTCACTTCCCCTCTTATTTATAAAGTATAGACATGCATGTAAACATAGTCACACCTATTTACACCCACACATATGTAAATAAACTATGCATTTCTAAATGAGTCACTTAGGCTACTAACTTAAGTTTTAAACAGTTTTGCAACTTTGAATTAGATGTAACCACAATCTTTATAAGCCAAATAGAATTATCCTTACAAAGCAGGTACAGCAAGGCCCAGAAATGTCAAGATTCGATTCAATAAGCAGTTACTGAGTGAGTCAAGTACAGAGACGCAAACATGAATAGGCCACAATTTCTGCTGTAAAGGAGTTTGTAATCTCGTATGCGAGAATGATATGAAAGCAAGTAGGTAGAAAATAAAGCAGGATGTGTACGTGAGATGTAAAGATAAATACTAACATTCCAGGGGAGGCTGATATAATTTCAAACACTTTTATGCTGAGTTATTGAGTCTTTTAAGACATGAAAACGCAATGCCATTCTTCACAAAATTTTACGATGCGCCTGCTAGACTAACCCCCTAAGTCTGTCATTAATAATTTTAAAATAAGGCAATACACACACCCCCTACTCCCACAAACCTTGAATGTGAAGACTGCGCAATATTAAATGTTTGAGTTCATCACACTGGATTACAAGGTTTCTCTCCTATTACAACTGTAAACATAATGAAGTTTCACCAAGAATGAAGTGCAAGGTTCTGAGGTTTAACAAAACTCAGAGGGCAATGAGAAGACAAACACTGCCCCAAATAGAAAATTGCAAGCACGTTAGAAAAAAGAGTTGAAGCCAGACCTACACACAAAAACAGGAGATGGAGAAGGATCGTAATTTTCCAAGCAGACACCTTGGGCATTTTTCTGTGTCATCATGTGTTGGCGATGGGAGGTGTGTGGGTGGGGGTGTTAAGGATTAACTGCCTCAATTCCACAACTCATTTTATATGTGTAAGAAAAGGGTAGAGGGTGTTTTTTCTGGTTTTGTATAAATGTGAGAAATCTGAAGGCAGAGATGACAGACCCCAGACAAGGCAGTAAATTACACGCTGGATGTGTGTTTGTAACACAAGTCACATTAATGAAGATGAATGCCACTTCAGGTTCACCCCAGCAGAATTACCTCATGTGACAGGGAAAGTATAATTCTGCCTCATAAAACTCTGGACACCCTGTACTCTGTGACTAAGCTGACTTGTGAATTTCACAGGCACTAGGGACATATTTAGATTGGATCAAGTTCAAAAAAGGGCACCCAGATTGGCTAAAAGACTTAAGGGCTTATTGAAAGGATCAAGAGGCAAAGGCGGGTCCCGGCAGGGCAGCTGCCAGCATGGAATCTAACACTGGTCAACAGATATCAACCTTCCAAATGCTTGCTGCCAGACAGAGTGCTCAGGGGCATGAAGGTTTTGGGGTCATGAATCCTGAGGTTGCAATCCTGGTTCCACCCCTTGCTTGCCAGGGGCCAGGGGCCAGGTTCCCGGACCTCTCCAGCCTGTTTCCATAGATGCAGAAGGGGGAAAACACCACCACTACCACTTGTAGCAGCCTTAGGTACCCTGCTTAGCGCTTTGTGTGTGTCATTTTATTCACATCTGTCATCTACCTTTAGTCTTTGCAACAACCTTAACCATTATTCTTATTCACGTTTTACATTCAAGGAAACTGAGACTATGCAATTTAACTAAGGTCTCCCAGTTTGCGGAGTGACGAGCTGAGATGGGAACTTCAGCCATTCTGCTGAGGTAGAGTTGTGCTGGGAACTCAACCAGAAACCATGTGACAGATTCAAATAGTGAGTGGTGCTTGTAATCACCGTCACCACCCCCATCATCATCACTGTGGGCATGTAACAAAGTGCACAGATTTAAAATGGCTATTACAGGGTGAAAGGCTTTTTTTTTTTTTTTTTGAACAAAAGTTTAACTGTTTTTATTAAGAACAAGATAGGCTAGGCATGGCAGCTCGCACCTGCAATCTCAGCATGCTGGGAGTCTGAGACAGGAGGTTCACTGGAGTCCAGAAGTTCAAGATCAGTCTGGCTAACATAGTGAGACTCCATCTCTACAAAAAAGTAATGAAACATATGAGACAGGCATGGTGGCGTGTGCCTGTCATCCCAGCTACTTGGGAGGCTGAGATAGGAGAATCGCCTGAGTCTGGGAGGTCAAGGTTGCAGAGAGCCATGATTGCGCCACTGCACTCCGGCCTGGGTGACATAGGAAGACCCTATCTCAAAAACAAAAACAAACAACAACTACAAAAAGATAACAAAGGTTAAGTCACCTGACAATGATTCACTCTCAAGAAAATCTTATTGCTTAGCTTTTTAAATTTCAATATATCCCTCTGATAATGAGCAGTGTTCATATTAGAAACATCTTTTTTTAAAATGTGGAAAACTATTATACTATGATTTAATGAACTTAATAAACTCTTGGTGTAAAACTGCCTACAAAGATGACGTCTGCAGAGCAGCAGAAAATTAACTGTGGGCAGCGACAGCTTAATGTAGCAACAGATTCTACCATTTGCTTTTAAACACTGGATTATTTGCACTTCGAGTTTTCCAAGCTTGTAGTCACTGGGTCTGGTTCTTTAATGAGTGTCTTTGATATCTTCTCTAGTTCAGTGCAGAAACAGCCAGAGGGTGGAGGAAACCCCCAGGGCTAACTAAAGACAGCTCAGAAATGCTTCTTAGCTGTGGACTCTCCCAGGCCGGCTTCCAGCCAGCGGTCAGCAACCTTTCTGAAGTGGCGGCAGGCCGAGTCTTTATTTGTTCTGAATTCAGCCCTGGCCAGTTTTGTGGAGATCAGAGCCTCTAAGTAAGGCGGGGCGATTGCTGTACGACTCTCTGTACTTGCTGGGAGGGGTCGAGGGTATGGGAGGGAACTACTCTTCCCCACCCCATCCTCCTCCGTGTGTCCAGTCCTGAGCTGGGACTCCTGCCCGAGTGGGGGGCCCCAGAGCTGCCCCAAGGCCCTGGCCAGCTGAGACCCCGTGAGTCAATACCGGCCAGTGCAGAGCCAGGCTAGCACAGGCAGGACTGTTTTCTCTCTTGCATGAGGTAATCTGCTGTGGTGGGTTGGATTCCAACTGGCATTCATCTCCGCTAATGTGATGTGTAAATGCACAAACACAGCCACAGGCATCAGCAGAGGGACACTGTTCCCCTGCAGCCTGGCTGTCCTGCTTCCCGTTCGGATAAAATGAGCCCTTCGCTGTCATGTGGGGTGATGCCCGAGCCCAGGTCGATTCGGCATGGCTCAGGTTTCCATGTAGGAGAAAGAATGAAGCCCATGGTTATGAGAACACACTGGATCCAGGCTGCCTGGGTTGTAGCTCTGCAACTCCAATTATTAGCTATGTGACTCTGGCAAGTTACCTAACCTCTCTGTGGTTTGGTTTTCCATCTTTAAAGGGGGATCTGCAAACATAGGGTTGTGAGGATTGCATGAGTTCACACATGTAAAAAGGCCAGAATGGTGCCTGCCACAGTGCGTTATACACACACGTTGTTACATGCTAGTCATGTTCTCAAGTATGGCTTATGGATCTAGAAAAAGCTCATCGCTGATCAATCCAGAGCAAGATTTTTCTTTTAAAAACTATATTGCCATATTTAACATTTTAATACTAGCTGTGATGTTCTGGGCCAGTTGCTTTATCTGCCCAAACTTCAGTTTCCTTAATTATATAACGGGAAATTAATAATACTGCACCTACGTAATAGGGTTAGTGTGTAAATCAAATGACACAAAGCACATAGTGCCTGGCAATA